GCCATGGCATTGAATACAAATATTTATGAATGAAAAAAGAGAGGGCTACATATGCAACTTAATAATTTAAAAATGAATGATACATAAAGCAGTAAGCTGGAAAATAACTTGAATGAGATGGAATGCTATTGCTGGTAATGTTAACATCCTAAATCTTCAAAGAAATACAACAATCTCTAATTTATTGTATGAATGGGGAATACATATTATTAGAGAAAAAATGCAACATAAAACGCACATTTTAAGACTTAAACTAAAAATATAATTATATTTTTTAATATAAATTAATATTATACAATATATAAATCTTGGATAGGGTGGCATATCTCTCTCATACATTAGCCCAACCCTTTTCTCCCAACTTATGTCGAGCTCTTTTTCGATGCTAGGTAGGGCAAAAATTTGTTGGGTTTGGACCAGGCATGTTGGGCAATTGAGTACTACAAACAGCCCGATCCCAACACACACTACCAACTTCTTTTATTAATTAGATATAAAAAAACCTGTTCTATTAATCTTTTCGTAATTATTTTCTCATCTCCTTTGTTTTCAAAAGTTGTACTCTATTGTAAAAGTTTAAAGGCTTTTGCATATATAGTCCATGTTATAAAAATAAACCAAACAAATAGTATACTATTTATTATATTTTATATTATAGCTAGTTTATTTTATTTATCATAATATAATATTGCATATCATAATAAATTTTTTTATAAATTTAAATTTTTAATAATAAATTCTTTGTATATGAATAACAAACAAAACTTTGTATATCAATAATAAATAGCCATACTCTCAAATTTTGAAAATTAATCCATAGTTTTTTTGGGTAAAGATTTTTTTGGCCATTTGACCCATTTATATATCGAAGTTTAAATCTATTGAGTCAAATATTATAAACTAATAAGGCTCAAAGAGCATAATCATAAGTTTGAGATTAACAACTATAACAAGTTCTCATGTCTAAACTCATATGATTATAAGAGTTATATATCTCTCAGATATTCTTATAAATTGGATTTGAATACCTAAAGTCCTCAAAGATTTTCTTTTAAGGTATTTACGGAAAAAAATCACTTGTACATAATAAAATTCATAGAATGATAATTTCTAAGTATAAAACAATGTCTCATTTCATTGTTAATTTTTAAGAATAAATTGATAAAATGGTAAAGAATAAGAATCAATATAAGTTAATCTTTTCATAAATTAAGGGCTAAAATTAATTTTTAATTTAATATTCATTGCATAGAGCACTCCCTCCATTCTTGATTGCTGAACCTTGCCCAACCCCCATTGATTGCATATGTATTCAGCGCTCATCGAGTGTTGTTAGGCTTAGGACAATCCTGACCTTTCATTTTATTCTAAAATAATATCTGTCATTTATTTAAATTAATTTTTTAAAATATTTTTTAATATTTATATTATATATATTTATTAATATAAAAAATTTAATATTACATCTAGGCTGTCTTTAGCATTCATCAAGAAATGAGTACCATAGTACTAATCACTTTTGATGAGATTTAGGCCATTTAAATTTATTTTATTTTTTATTTATTAAAATAAAATTTCTGAAAAATATAAAATTTTTTAATAAATTTTTTTTTATTACCAACATGACCAATACAAATTAAATCAAGATAGTTTAATTTACACATTAGCCCAACCCTTTTCTCCCCAAATCATGTCGAGCTCTTTTTAGAGCTAGGTAGGGCAAAAATTCATTGGGTTGGGCTAGGCATGTTGGGCAATTGAGTACTACAAACAGCCCTATCCCAAACACACACTACGAACTTCTTTTATTAATTATATATAAAAACCTGTTCTATTAATCTTTTCGTAATTATTTTCTCATTTCCTTTTGTTTTCAAAAGTTGTACCCTATTGTAAAAGTTTAAAGGCTTTTGCATATATAATCCATGTTATAAAACTAAACCAAGCAAATAGTATACTATTTATTATATTGTATATTATAGCTAGTTTATTTTATTTATCAATGGTATAATATTGCATATCAATAATAAATTTTCTATAAATTTAAATTTTTAATAATGAATTCTTTGAATATGAATAACAAACAAACTTTGTATATCATATAAATTAGCCATACTCTCAAATTTTGAAAAATTAATCCATAGTTTTTGGATAGAAGATTTTTTTGGCCATTTGGCCAATTTATATATATTGAAGTTTAAATCTATTGAGTCAAATACTATAAACTAATAAGGCTCAAAGAGCATAATCATGAGTTTGAGATTAACAACTATAACAAGTTCTCATGTCTAAACTCATGCTTGTATAAACAACATCATTACCTATTGGATTAATTTTTACTGTCATCTTCTATAGTTTTCTATACAAATGAATTGATTATAAGAGTTATATATCTCTCAGATATTCTTTATAAATTGGATTTTGAATACCTAAAGTCCTCAAAGATTTTCTTTTAAGGTATTTACGGAAAAAAATCACTTGTACATAATAAAATTCATAGAATGATAATTTCTAAAGTATAAACAATGTCTCATTTCATTGTTAATTTTTAAGGAATAAATTGATAAATGTTAAAGAATAAGAATCAATATAATTTAATCTTTTCATAAATATAAGGGCTAAAATATTAATTTTAATTTAATATTCATTGCACAGAGCACTCCCTCCATTCTTGATTGCTGAACCTTGACCCAACCCCCATTGATTGTGTATGTATTCAGCGCTCATCGAGTGTTTGTTAGGCTTAGGAGCAATCCTGACCTTTCATTTATTCTAAAATAATATCTGTCATTTATTTAAATTAATTTTTTAAATATTTTTAATATTATATTATATTATATTTATTAATATAAAAAATTTAATATTATATCTAGGCTGTCTTTAGCATTCATCAAGAAATGAGTACCATGTTACTGATCACTTTTGATGAAATTTAGGCCATTTAAATTTAAATTTATTTTTTATTTATTAAATAAAAATTTCTGAAAAATATAAAATTTTTATAAATTTTTTTATTACCAACATGACCAATACAAATTTAATCAAGATAGTTTAATTTAATATAAAAATTTTATAATTTTGCCATTCGATTATCTAGATAAACTTTGAATAGTTTAGATATAATCTTAATGATGTAATTTAATATTAAAAAGTTTATAAGTTTTTATGAATTAACCATTTAATATATTTTAGATAGCTCATATTTAATATTATTTTTTTATATTTTTTTATATTAATAAATATATCTTTAAAAATTAATTTAAATGAACAACAGAGATTATTTTAAAGTGAAATGAAGGGCTATGATTACTCCCACCGTGAGTACTCAATATCAAATACGAATGCCCATTGATCTCCATTTTCAACTATAAAAAAAAACTACCATGTATTTCTTTGTTGTTGATAAGAAAAATTAGAAATTATATTTTTCTCTCAATTATCCCTCATAAAATTAATGTTTATTTTCACTAGACAATTTAATTCAATTTTTTGGTTTTAAACATAATTATTATACTTACTACTTAATTTTTTTTAAGATGTAAGTTTGAATTTTTTTTTGATGAAGTGAATATTTTTTGGAAAAATATAACTACCCACCGGTTCTTACTCATTTTACTCAATTTTAAATTAGATCGCTATAGTTTATTTTATTTTTATTAAGCCCTTATAATTGATCAATTAAATTTTGTAATCTTAGGGGTTAAAATTAATAATAAATTATTAATTTTACAAAATAAAAATACTTTCAAACTTTGCAAAAAACTTAATTTGGTACTTTTAACTGAAATAAAAATGATTTAATATACTATTTATATTTTTTGTTAACTTTTTTAATGTAAATTCTATATGTATAAAAAAATTTACAGGACAATCATAAATTTTGAATTATAAAAATTATGTAATCAATTCTAAAATTATATAATTATTTATAAAATATGAAAGTTTTAATTTTATTTTTTTAAATAAAAAGTTGAGGATTTTAATTTTTAGGTATTAAAAATTTAATTGATCAAAAAACTAAATTTTAAAAAATTATTTAAAATTGAGTGATATAAGGATTTGTAGATACTTCCTACGTAAAAAATATAAGGTATTTTTAAGAAGTTAGATGTTAAAAAATGTAAGACATTTTTAGTCTTTTGAAGTGTAATCATTGTCTTTTTTTTAAGTACCTCTATTAATAGTGACTTTGTATTTATTATAGGGTGCTTAATAAAAAAATATATAAAGATAGGGTTAGTTAAAAAGTAGGTAACTATTTTATTAAAGAGTAAAATTTAATAAAAATATTTTATATTTTTAATAGAGAGAATATATATTTTTTCTTATATTTGATAATTGACAGGGAGAATAGATTCAGAAATGAGAAATAAAAAGACGAATAAGTCTTTTTTTTATCCACGTCACACACCTTTCTCCCTTCGGTTCGTTACTATTCGATTCCTTGTCATTTTCTCAACTCGCGTTTCTTCACAGAAAGTATTGTTCACGCTTTGATTTGAAATTCAGAGAATAATCAGTCTCATGAGTTCCTACGTCTCCGCGACCTTCCTCTTCGAGTCTTCGTCTTCGAGGTGCTTTCTCTGTAAAACTCTCTCTCGTGTTGACCCTTTTCTTATTCCCGCTTCCTCCTCGTCCTCGCTCCGTTTCCCCAAACGGTGTCGGATTCTGTGCCAGAAGATGTCCTGCTCCTCTCAAACCTCCCTCCCTACCTTCACCACTGTCAGCGTATCTTTCTCGGAGCTTAAGTATCCCCTCTCTCTCTCTCTCTCTCTCTTCTCTACCTTGTGATGATTATTTATAGCGAGTTAACTAATTATGAAATGGATTTCTAATTGCCACCATGCAAATAGCGGTTGTTAAATGTGTTTGTTTCTGAGCATGCTATGGTGGTTGTTGAAGTATTGATGCTTAGTTTTGTGCAATAGGGAAGATATTCTCGATACAGTTGTGTTTCTAAGAGTGTAATGTGACTAGTGTTTATTATTGATTTTGTTCTTTTTAATTTGCTATGGCAGGATAAGAACTCTGACTTGTCGATGAAGATTGAAGAAGGGTTTGGGCCCAATGGACTGGGAATTCTATCGGTCACAGATGTCCGTGCAAAGCCGCTTTTTATATAATCTATTCGTATTTATGTTTCCAGCCTTGATAGATTAATTTTTTTTTCAAATTTTGGAGGGGGTGAAGAGTTGGATTTAGGTATTTATTATTTGTAGTTGTTTTTTTGCACAAAAATTGGCATTGAATTTTTGGGGCATTGTGTTTGGCTATTCCATCTGAAACAATATTTCTTGGTTTTACATATTAGGAAATCATTCACTTGTATCACTTGGGTGGGACTAGCCATGGTGTTATTCCCCTTATGGGGTGCCATTGAGATCTAAGATGGTTAACCTGAGACCAAGGGTGGTACTCAAGCCTTGAGGCTCTTGCACATAGTCTTTGGGTTGGGATCTCTTGGCTAAGTTTATCACAATAGACGATATTAATGAAAAGGTTAAGAGGTCAAACACCCACCAATCAACTGCAGGAACTTAGAATGCCTATTCTTGATGTGGAAATTGCACTTAGACATGTTTGTGTTCTTGTAGGCTTAGTTTTGGAAATCAAAGTTGAAGAGAAGGAAATAGAGGAAATGAATGGGTGCATCATGTCTAAATCATAGTTTCATTCCTCTAGTGTTCTTGCCCCCCTATTAGTGTTTCCCTAGACTCAAACTGACCAAACTTACTGTGAGCTCAGGTAGCTGTGTGGATGAGATAAATCAGATGCTTGAAAGTAAATTTGAATGAAGTTTAAAAAATATTAAAATGCATAAAAATGAGAAACAAATGCAACTTCATGTGCGCATGTTGTTATTAAGATGGCTATATGTATGTTGTGTTGTCCTAGGGGGGGAACTGAACTTCGCTACTGCTCTGTTGAATGTTGATGACTTGATGCAGTGACACAAATCCGAAAACTTATTTGATTCAACTGAACAAATTTTACTATGAATTCTTTTTCTTGGCTTCTCATTGCTCAAAAAGTGCATTCACTTGTGAGATTAGTGTTCATGAATTGCTATCTAATATGGATCAATGGCAACGTTTACTTTTTGTTGAAAGGACTTCCTTGGTTTTGACTATCTTTGTACGTGGTTTCATATGATCCATCATTGTAGGGGAAAAAGGAGGCTAGGGATTGTTCTCACCACTTGCAGTTTTCTGTTTCTCGTGATAAATTTTTCTGTTTTGTATTCTAAAGTAATCCATTTTAATATGGTTTAGTTAATTGTGCTGGAACTGGATATTTTGTTTTCTGGCTAGATTGTACTTTGTGTCCTCATAATCCTTTAATTGACTTTAGGTCCCTGGATACTCTTCATTACGGACTAATCTTTTGCATCTTGCACCAAGGTAAGTGCTTCAAAATACTATTTCACAACTTTTATTGTAGATGTGTTAGTCTAACATCAAAGGTAATTAATAGAAGCGTGCTATTTTTGCAACTGAGAAGATTTTCTTTGCATTCTGTCAGATTGGCTAGTCTTCCTGAAAAGGTGAAGGAGGAACTTGAGGATCCTCATAGTAGGTAACTTATTCTGTTATTAGAAGTTCTTACAACTTGATTTTCAATTTCATGATATATTCTACTTAGTCATCCAGGCATATTGCTATCATCTGCCATCAGTCCAATGCTTTCACTTCTAGATATTTGAATTTGACAGAGGAAAATAACCTTTTTTTCTCTTTTTTTTCTATCCACCACAAATTATCAGGTACAATTTTGGCTGGAGTCATGGGAAAGAAAAGCTTGAATCTGGGAAGCCTGGTAAAAATTTTCATCTGTAAAATATAATAAATTCTATTTACAATTCAAACGAGCTCTGAAGTCTTATGCTTCAAAATGATTTGAGTTGTGTCAAATGGAGAACTAAAGGACCTATATTTTTTATTTCTTATGTCAGAAATATAAATTAGTATAAATTTGAAGATTTGATTTGCGATAAAAATATGTACATGAAAACATAACATAACTAAATTGAATTTGCATAGGCTATCTTATATTCTTCTGAGAGATGCTTGATAAGGTCGCAATAACCTATGCTTCTCATGTACTATTACATGTGTGCGTAGACCTACATTGTTTTCCACATGCATCTTTTAAGTTGCAAAGTCTTTTGTTTGTTGGTCTACTTTTAGCATTGCACATAGAAAACTTTCTGTAAGGTCAAGTTGGAATTATACGGTCTCAACAGAAAAGCATTCTTAGTTTTCCTGCTGGGTTAATCTTTGATCTGAGATAAGAAATGGTTAAGGCAGCTTTGTGTTGCTGGCAAGGCGCCATGCTTTATTCAGCATGAAATAACACCACCATGAAGATCTACTTCTTGATGAACAATAATGGGGCTTTGAAGAAGGATTTAAAATGAATCAAAATAATATGTATTTTAACAGGTCTGCAATGTTGTAAAAGTGACTGTCCTGACATCAACACAAAAGATAATTTATTACCAATCAGGTCCGTTAGCTCTACCATTGCCATTTTTCTTAAGAGCTTCCTTACCTCCTTATCACGTATTTTTCGATAGAATGACAAATTTTGTTCTTCTTCCCCAATTACTAAATCCTCCAAGTTATTAGATGAATCCTCTCCATCATTGAAAAGTTTAGAAAAATAAGTCTCCCATAGATGAATCCTCTCCTCATTGAAAAGTTTAGAAAAATAAGTCTCCTTCCCCATCTATTTTAATTTCATCATCTGTAAAAGTCTAAAATCTTCCCTCTTCATCCTTAATACACCTTACCTGTTCTAGATCTCTTGATTTTCTTTCCCTACTCTTGGCAATCTTATAAATATTTTGCTCTCCTTCCTTCGTCTCAAGGTTCTTATAAAATTCTTCAAAAGCTTTGGAACGAGCTTCACCCACAGCTCTCTTAGTTTCCTTCTTAGCCATACAGTACCTCTCCCAATTTTCCTCATTGTTACACAAATGTATGGCTTTAAAACAGTTCTTCTTATACTTGATTTTGTCCTGTACACTATTATTCCACCACCAAGACTCCTTATCTCTCGGACCAGAACCTTTCGATTCTCCCAAAACTACTTTTGCAACCTCCCGTATCTTTTTAGCCATATCCTCCCATATGATGTTAGCACTTCCCTGAGAATCCCAAATTCCTTTATCCAAAAGATTTCGCTTGAAAATATCTTGCTTCTCACCTTTTATTGCCACCACCTAATCTTTGGTGTTACTACTTTCGACGTTTTTGGATTTTACTCATAATACACACATCAAGGACTAGGACCCTATGTTGTGTCGTTACAGCATCTCCAGGGATCACCTTACAATTTTTACAAAGTTTTCTATCTGTGTTCCTAACCAAAAGAAAATCAATCTGCGACCTTGAGGCTCCACTTTTGTAAGTGATGAGATGCTCATCTCTCTTCTTGAAACAAGTGTTGGCAATCTTAAAATCATACGCCAATGAGAAATCAAGAAGAGTTTGCCCTTCATTGTTTAGCTCTCCAAAACCAAAACCACCATGCCACCTCGCATACTGACCAACTTCCCTCCCGACATGCCCATTAAAGTCTCCTCCAATAAAAATCTTTTCACTCTGTGGTATGTGTCGAATCAACCCCTCCAGATCCTCCCAAAATAATTCCTTAAGATTGGCTTCTGTCCCGACTTGCGGCGCATAAGCGCTAACAATATTAACAGTCTCACGTCCAATTATCATTTTTAAAGAAATAATTCTGTCTCCAATTCTGCTAACTTCTACAACGTTCTTCTTCCACTCCTTATCTATAATGATGCCTACTCCATTGCGTGCACTTACTTTTCCTGTATACCAAAGTTTGAAACCTTGAATATCCTTAGCTCCTTCTCCACGCCATTTTGTTTCTTGCAAGCAAAGGATATTGATTTTCCTTTGAATCATAACCCCTACAACCTCTACAGATTTACAATTTAATGTCCCAACATTCCAAGTACCAAATCTAATTTTGCTTCTTATGGACTAACTTCTTTAGCCGCGTGCGTCCAGAATGACGCGGTAGCCCTTGCTCATTTAACACTACATTCGGACGCCGATGCAGCGGCTCTAACTCACTTATCACTGTACTCGAGCCATGCAGCGCGTTACTTATCACTGTACTCGAGCCATGCAGCGCGTTACGGGCAACGACCTAGCATTAACATTATAACGTCTATTGTCCATGTTCATGATAGATTCAACAAATTTTTACATTGGCTGTTGATGGCCTAACACAACCCTTCTCCTTTACCCGGGCTTGGGACCGGCTATAAACATAGGCGGAGTTGACTGTCTGACATCAACACAAAAGATAATTTATTACACCAATATGGGTAGGTAATTTCTACAACAAAAGTTGTTATTTCTGGTTAACATGATTTCTGAATGTGAATCTACCTTTTTTCCACCATATATGAATGTAGCTCTAATTATATGGTTTCTCTCAAAAGTTATGTTACCTGTATATTGGAAAAAAGTAATAGCTAGTATTTTGTTAATTAACTATCTTCATATTTTAACTAAAAGAGGTTTATTTTTTATCTTTATCTACTTCTTTCTTCCCCAACTGCAGATCTATTAAAAGGTTCTTTCTATGCAAATCCTATACTAGATAGGCCTACAACAGAGGCATCTTTGATACAACGGTAAAAGTGAATAAAAACACACCGTTTTGTTTATTGAGCTGTTTCTTACCCTAGGCTATTTATAAGATCTATAAAATGGTTGATATGGAGTCAACTTTTTCTTTACTATACTCTTTACTTTTGAAATGAGTGATTATTATTCTCTTTCTAAGCTATAGCCAATATGTTACATGATTATTTCAAGTTATCATCTGAGTCACACTAAGTTCTGTTTTCTTATCACTTCAGAAAAAGCATATGTTTACTCTTAATGACCAAAATGGGAAGTGCTTTCAAATATGTAGTTTTTGAGCACATTTATCATCTCAGCTTTTGATGTCCTGTAGGTACCCCTCGTACTGTGGATCAAACATATGGCCCAGCAATGCATTACCAGAACTTGAAGTGGGTATGAACTAAACTGATATTACATGTTGCTGGGAGTAGCTCCTGTGATATTATTGAATTATCATACAATTGATGATTGTAGACCCTAAGTTGTTTTTATGGATTTGCTATCTACATGTGCATGCAGCACTACTGCTGTTTTCTTGATCGCATCCTTATCCATTTTTGCGGTTCTTCCTACCAGATAGTCTGACACTTTTCCATACATGCTACTTTATAATTTCTGTTGCAGCATATTATCTATGGAGCAACCTCTTTATTCTCTTGTTTTCCTAGATTACTAGATGTTACATTTAAATTTGGTTAAGAACATTTTATGCTTATGTTTGTCTTGTAAATCACTACTTGAGATAGTGATAGAGAAGTGTCCACTTTTTGTGATCTTTATGTTTTGCCGTATTGTTACCTGATTACTCAATCAATGTTCATTTGTTTTGAACTTGTAGCTTTCAAAGCACTTGGGAAGCTGATGTTTGATGTTGGGCTGATGTTGGCATATCACTGCGATCAATATGGTAAAACAAGTTTCAGTGTATATTCTTCCTCAGACAAACACCCTATGAATGGCCTCTTGAGCCCATAGCCTTCTAATTCTTTGCACATTTAAATCAAATAAAAATCTCTTTACACGAAGAGCATCTCCAATAATATGTGAAATGGTTGATATGTTATATGTGGATTTCCTAAAAGTGGATTTTTGGCCTATTTTTTGTTCCCCTTTAACATACCATGGTAAGCTGGGAATTGGCCTTCAGTTCTAAGACCGGCCCAGTAAAAGATTTTAGACACATGCCCTTATCAGGTTATGGCTTTCACTTGTGAGGATCATCTATGAGTGTTGACGTGCTTAATCTTAGATGATACTGATATGGATATGCTTCCTTTAGTTCATGAAAAAGGTCTTTTAACAATTTTACATATTTATTCTGATATGTGGTGGAGGAATGATTTTCTGTCATCTCCAATTTGCTTGTCAGTATCTAAAGGGATAAAAAAGCACCAAGATGAGGGTCTAGAGCCAATACTTCGCCGCTCCCGCTGTCATAAAGGGCGTTTGCTTTATTATTTTCCTGCACAGCAAGGGTAATTTTGATATTCCTTTTCTTTTGCGCATTCAAAATTCTCCGTGTCAATATCTGATGAAAGCAGTAAGCTGAAAGTTGAAGTTTGATTTTTTTTTTTCCCATGAATATATGATACAGCTGAGGACATGCTAAATTTAAGTTTTTAAAGGTGTAATGTAAAATCATTTTACATGCTAAATTTGATTTGCCCAAATTTCTGGTCTATTGAGGACAAGACAGCAAATTTTTAAGAACTGAAAACTGTAGTTCAAAACTTACTCCAGATATTCATTTGTTTTGTCTTTCACTTTAGCTTAACTGGTTTATCTTTTTTACTTCCCTTTTTTTGGCCAAATTTTTTACTTCCTTGGCGGTATTGGAAGAACTAGCACATTTTCGGTTGATGGATAAAAGCACAAAATTTCTCCACACAACACTATCTCCCAAATATCTGTTACTTCTAGTTCTGTTTATGGGCCCGGATATTTCAGTTCAGAGTAGAATTTCCATGATATAGTATAAACTGTACTTATAAAAATTTGGTTTAGAGAATATTATATTTATAAAGTTAAACTTAATTAATCTTATATTTAGCAATATTATGTAGTTTATAAGTTTATGTATGCATAACAGTATTAAAAATGTCGTGAATGACTTGCTTTAACAGCGCTCTGGATGGTAGCTCCATGTCTGATTGGTGTGGTTGGCACACAGACCATGGTTCACTAACAGGTGACCATCATTTGTTATTTTGTAATAAAGGTTTTAACATAATGTGTTTTTTTTTTTTATCTAGTAAGACGTCATATTCTTTATTGAAATTGATAAGACAAGCATAGGGAAAATTCTAAATTGTCAAGAAGAGAACTGATATTATTGTTCTTCACGTGCCATTTTTTTTCCACTTTCTATTCAAATTTTAATTTGCAGGTCTGACCTGTGGTATGTTTAAGAGAGATGGCGTGGAAGTACCTTGCCCTGACAGTGCTGCTGGCTTATACATTCAAACACGAAGTAACCAAGTTGTGAAAGTATGCATTCTTTTCCTGAAATTGCAAGTAATACAAGATCCCACAATATATAAAAAATTATCATCATTGAGACCTAAAATTTCTTCTTGGTCCACTTCTCTCTGAACATAAAAGTATTTGAATATTTTCCGATATTTATTATTTAAAGATAATGTTGATTCTCCAAAACTCAAAATTGCGTGCTAGTTATGTCTATATCAGAGAACTTTAATAATTTTTCAAGAAGGTGATTTCTTTTATTTAAGAAAAGTAAAGAGTTAAATGACTGCAATTTCATTAGAAAAACTTGCGCTGTTCATTGTACCTAAATGGAATGGATTTTTAATTGTGAGAAACACTGATAAGAAGGTCTTGATATGCATAAAGCTCTTTAAGACCAATAGACATGGGGGAAAATAAATATCAGAAGTAAAACTTTTTGTGGATAATATTCTCCAAGAAATGTTTGGCAGTATTTGAAGAGAAATTTAATTGATATATGATGCGCTTGAATGGAGCATAAGTTTCATATTTATATTTATTGTGGTCTTTGTTAATTACTTTATGTATATTTTGATTTGAAGTCTGATCTACTAACCCCAACTGGTCTCCTGTCCAGAATTTCTAATTCTAGTGAAGCAATGTCAATAGATTGCTTGTAATTACTAATTACTAATTTCTAATCTGTTGTAGTTCCTTCCAGATAAAAGCATATTTGACAGACATGCTACTCTGACTAGGAATGATGGTTGCTTGTAAATTGTGAAAGCATCTGTCCAGTAAATTTTAAACTTTTCTTCTCAACCAAAAAAAAAAAAAAAGATTTTCTGTTGTTTAGGTTTTAAGTGCGAATGAATCTTCAACTGGAAACTAATTGAAGCTTGCTAGGTTCCTTTTCATAAAATTAGCTCATGAAGCTTTAGAATTATCATGCTTCAGCACATTGTATGTACTCATTTGATTTTTTTACCCTGTAGGTTGTGTTTGGAAAAGATGATATAGCTTACCAAATTGGCGAAACCACTGAAATATTATCTGGAGGTTATCTTTGTGCCACACCTCACTGTGTTCAGGTAAACTCAGCCTCAGAATTACTTTGTCGTTACTTTTAAGCATACCATGTGTTCTGGTAATCTTACTATGTCAAACCATGTTCTGCATGTTCCTTTTTTCTGTCTTTATATTGTACAGCTTTGGTTTCTTTTTTTCCATGCTAACTGCTGATTACGTACTAGTATCTTTCTCTTTTATTATTATGGAAAAACACAACTATTGGTTGCTATAATTTTATCGTATTTTTTTATTGGTCCCTGTACTCTATTTTTGTTGCTTCAGGTGCTTATAGTTTTTCCTGCCTACAATGTCAGTCCCTTTATTTTCAAATATTCCCATAGGGATGATGATGCAACACTAATAATGTTAAGTTCTCTGACATGTAACTAATATCATTCCACTGCACATTAATCGAATGTAGGTTTTATATAGTTCATTTTTACAGACTTTGAACATTTTTCTTCCCCTCTCCTTTGGTTTCGTTCACCACACCAAAATGCTCTATTTTATTTTGTTTTATTTTTGCTGATTTTGAAGCCATTGGTCGTAATTTTTTGTTAATGTTGATGTTGGAGTTTATTTTGTCTTCGTGCAATCAGGCATAGTCTTCAATTTCTTCCAACTGATCTTTGTTACTATGTATTTTGTAATTGCTTTGTCTCTTTCTTTTTTATTGCAACATTCAATTTAACACGGTCCAAGAAAATGCCTGATGAATGGAGGAGAAGTACATTAATTCCTATTTATAAAAATAAACGAGATATTCAGAATTGTACTAACTATAGAGAGATTAAGCTCATGAGCCACACAATGAAATTGTGAGAGAAAGTAATTGAGCACAGGTTGAGATTGGAGACAAGTATTTCTGAGAATCAGTTTGGTTTTATGCCAAGTAGATAAACTACAGAGGCGATTTATCTACTAAAGGGATTAATGGAAAAGTATTGTTGTAAAGATAAAGATCTACACATGGTTTTTATTGATTTGGAAAAAGCTTATGACCGTATACCAAGAGAAGTGCTTTGGAAAGCGTTGGAAAAAAAGGGAGTACGGATTGCTTATATTAAAGCCATACAAGATATGTATGAGGGGGTAAAAACTAGTATAAGAACGCCTAGTGGTCAAACAAAGGATTTTCCTATAAAGATTGGACTACATCAGGGATCATCTCTGAGTCCTTATTTGTTCAACTTGATCTTAAATGTTTTGATGGAACATATTCAAGGGAAAATTCCGAAATGTATGCTCTTCGCGTATGATATAGTTCTTATAGCAGATACAAGAGAAGAGGTTAATTGCAAACTTGAGTTATGGAGGAGGACATTGGAGTCGAAAGGTTTTCGTCTGAGTAGAAGTAAGACGGAATATTTATATTGTAAATTTGGTAAAGGACTATTCAACAATAATTTGGAAGTGAAATTGGGAGATCAAATTATACCTCAAGTGGAAAAGTTTAGATATTTGGGAGCCATTATTCAAAATGATGGCGAAATCAGTGGAGATATTTCACATAGAATTCAAGCTGGGTGGTTTAATTGGAGAAAAGCTAAAGGAGTTATTTGCGACCGTAAGGTGCCTAATAAACTTAAAGGAAAGTTTTATCGCACTGCTATCAGACGGGCAATGTTATATAGTAGTGAATGTTGGGCTCTAACGGGATAGCAAGAGCATAAAGTTGGAGTAGCAGAGATGAGAATGTTACGATGGATGTGCGGACATACACGTAAAGATAAAGTTCGAAATGAGCACGTACGCGAAAAAGTGAGGGTGGCATCTATTGAGGAAAAATGGTAGAAAATCGGTTGAGATGGTTTGGGCATGTACAAAGAAGACCAAGGGAGGCACCCGTAAGAAGAGTCGAATATATAACTTTGAGTCCGATTAAGAGAGGTAGAGGAAGGCCTAAGAGAACACTTTTGGAAGTTATTGAACGCGATCTGTTAATTAATAATATTCCTAAAAGCTTGATAAATGATAGAGCACAATGACGTCTTGCAATCCATGTAGCCGACCCCACCTAGTAGGATAAAGGCTTGTTGTTGTTGTATTCAATTTAACACTGTTAGTTATACGTCAGATAATTTAATACTGTTAGTGCCACATAATTGTCTCTTTGAGCATATTTAAAAATAGAAGGATTAACATTACACACGAGGAAAACTATAGGGGACTTGGAGCAGCAAAAATAAAGTACACGGACTAGTAATAAAGCACAATAAAACTATAAGAACTAATAGTTGTATTTTCCCTATTATTATTATTATTATTATTTTTCTGAAAGTCTTTCATTTTGTATATTTAGAGTTCTTCAAGAGCAGTCGTCATCAACATTTGTCAATTTTTGTTATCATTTGCTTAATGTGCAAATGCTTTCTGGGGTCTTTCAGTTGAGAGCTCAATTTTCTTTTTCCCCGTCATCTTTCTGGGCTTGAATATGGGATAAGCCAGCTTAGAAGTCAAACATGAGGATTTTGAATGCTGCGATTTGATTAAAAGATAAATGTGAAGAAATTTTGTAACATATACAGATGGATAGTAAATGAGCTTTTGACTATATGTTCAACATATCTTTGGCATCTGATACCTTCATGTATCTCGAGTTGTAGCATTGCATATAGATTTTGGGTTTCTACCGGCATCTACTCTTAATATGGATTTTCTGATACTTTTAGGCTCCCAAGGGAGAGGAGGCTTCTGGTATCGAACGTTCAACATTTGCACTCTTCATGCAACCTGACTGGTACGTATGATCAGATGCTACAGTTATCTTTTACTTGACCATGCTGAAGTCAGTACTGCTTGAATAAACTGGCAAAGTGAGGTTAACCATGAATCCAAACTTAATCATTACAATTATGATTTAACATTTTTGCTTTTCAGGGATGAAAAGCTCAATTTTCCTGAGGATGTTCATATTCATAAGGAGGTATGCGTTCTGAAGTCATGACCCTTCACAACGGGAATTACCTTTAACCATTAAATTTTAAAAAAACAGATAGAAATTGACCTTGTGAAAGCTCGATTGTCTAGAGCTCAGTTAAGACAAAAAAATGCTTGATAGAGGGAATGGAATTGTCAGCTTATAATATTGTCAGTGCCACCAAATGCGTTTGGGCTCTCCCTAATTTCTGAAGTTAGGGGAAAGTGGAAAAGGGAGTATTTTCATCTAAATTAAATATATTATCTGTCACAGGCATCTTCAACTAAGAGAGCTTATACTATCAAGTCCCATAAATAGTTTATTATGATCTCTAACATGCTCTATTAGGCGAAAATCCATCGGACTTTAAGCAATGACAAAGGGTTATTCTATTGTATGGCATGCTAAAACTTAATTTTAACTAAGAGAACTGGAGGTACTAATGATGGAGCACTAAACAACGTGGTCATAAAGGTTGTAACACCATGTTAAGTACCTCTTCAAGTTAAGGGCTAAACAGTTAAATGAAGACCCGTGAATAGTTTATTGTATTCTCTCACACAACCCATATGCCCAATTTGGCTTTCCTTTATTAGTTGATCAAATTCTGAACCTGGCAGAGTGAGCACTACGCATACTAATTTTATCCAGAAAATGTCATACAATATCACTTTCAAATCCGGATCAAAAAGCCTCAACCTGTTTCCTCCTGTATATAAGTTTAGTATACTGGATTTCTAGAGGCTAGATTGTGCTTATTCTTTCTATTTTGCAGCTAATACCCTCAAATGCTGCCCTTACTTTTGGAGAGTATTCAGAGATGCTGCTAGACAAATATTACCACCAAAAGAAGTAACGTTACCATTTTACCTTACCTATTGATGTCTAATTATGAATTGGACTCCTTTGCCTTTGTAGATTTTCTCTTGGTTTCAAATCTAGCTGCTAGTTGATCTGGTTCTTTAGTTGATGTTGATCAGGTTGCCTTTTGGTTTTTTTTTTTTTCCTTCCAAGGACCTAAGGTTTAATGTCAGTATCTTCTCAGCCTAGAACTAGTTGGGAGGGAAGAGAAATAATGCCATGAATAAAAAGTAATTTGTAATATTATGATGGCATTCCGTTGAACTAAAATATTTGTTAAGTTATAAGAAAATAGAAGTGGAGTTGAGTGGGTATGGGAGAAAACATAAAACTTAGTTTAATGTATTTTGGCAAATCCTAACCCTTGTTCCTGTAGGGGAAAATATTTAGTCACAGATAACAAGTACATAATTCTCTAGTAAAAAGTGAAGTGTTAGCATTTGTATCTTGTTTCAGTCACATCCCGCGTTTCTCTTAAAAATCAAGAAATCTCATATATTATATTAATTAAAAAGCAAACAAAAGTCACATATCGAAATCTCTATTGGCTTGGCTCCCCAATCACCCACCTTGTGGGAAAAAGACGTTAAGAAAGATAGCGTTAAAATGGTTAGTGGGACACCACCACCCAGAAGTGGTGAGTCCTGTTCATGCACTTGAATAGGAGACAATCAGAGTGACATCTTGCACCAATGTACTGAGTTTTGGTTCACGTTGGGGGTATTGCGATATTCCTTTTTGCCAATTACATCTTGGGAGAATGATAATTGAAAGATCTTGTAAGAATATATTGAGTCTAGGATCTTTAAATTGTAAATATAGAAGTTTGAATTGTAAATTAAGGTCTGAGTTCTGGCAAAATATAAAAATTAAGGTCTGAGTTATAAACATGTCCTACTTTTACAAAGTGTTCTTACAAGCTATTCTTGATTGTCATTTTTCCTTGCACTTTCACTCCAAAGGAAATTTAATTTATGACTATATGATTTGGTAATTGCAAGTCAAATTCCAGTTTTGTTAGATAAGTACCTTTTTTTTTTTGGCCAGAAAGGTAAGTACAATAACATTCTATCACTTGGGTACCACCCATGGTAGGTGATTTTCTCATTTGGTATTTCATAAAATAGCATCAAGTATTGTTAGATTTATTGCAGTGATTCTTAACATGATTTTTATTTACAAATTTGAATTTCCAAGGAAATCAAATCTTTTCTACTATATGGAAATTTTTACCCTTAGGCAGCTCAAAAGTGTTTGGCCTTTTCCATTGAAAAAGCAAACAAGAAAGAAAAAAGTGCTAGCTTTTGAAACAGCAGAGTAATGGGACCCTTAATCGTTGCCCTTTTTTGTGCGATTTGGAGACAACATTTGACCATTCATAACTGAAAACTACTCAGCGAATAGGCCTCCGCTCCTTGTCTTCTTAGTATGTTATCACCGTTTCATCAGGACTTCTGCTTGTTTGGTGGGTTTCTCTGACAAAGATGTCCTCTTATTAAAGATAATCTTGTTTGACCAACAAATGTGGATTCAGTTGGTAAGAATTTGCCCATAATCCACAAGATTGCACCCTCAAATTTCGCTCTTGATCTGAGAATTTTATTGGCGAGCGATTTGTAAGTGTTCTTTGAATTTAAAGGTATATCCAGGTGAACTTCAAAGACCCAACTCACCTAAACTTTACTGTTAAAAAAAAAAACCTTATTTGTAGTACAATCAAATATTAAATGTGAACACTTTGTCTTGGATTAAAACTTTAGTTCATCGTACGATGAAGTATTAGCCCTCTCTTTTAGACATAATTCCTATTGGCAGTGGATTTCTCTTTTCATGTGTAGCGCCCTGTGTCTGTGCATTAAATTTAGGTTTTTAAGAATAAATTATGCAAAAATTAAAAATAAATAAATAACCATGTTAAATATAATAGATAATGAAGTTAGGTCATTTCACCTTTATATATGGTAAAGGAGCTCAATGTTATTTTAAATTGTTATGCCCAACCACTTGTAAACAATTGCTTAAATATTTTGTAGGTATAAAAATTTTTACTCTACTATAAATTTAAATTCATTATGATCACAAATTAACATAAACTAAACTATATATATTTTTTATTATATTAGAAAGTTTGAATCATTAACCTTTATTGATATCCTATTTCACTTTCTCCTTGAGTTTGCTGATATGGACCGATATCAGCTGTGTATTATTCAAAATTTGAATATTCATAAAGAGAGCTATTAGCATTTTTTTTTTTTTAATATAATAGAGAGCAAGGCCCGTCAGATTAAATTAAAAAAAGGGGATTGTGACTCCAGCATTTGTTTGAGTTTAAAGAGTAAGCTAGAGCACAAAGAGGGGGGGGGGGGAGAGCAAGAGACGGCGTTGGGGTCTGTTCATTCAATATAATATGTTTTATTTTTACAGAAAGGGAATAACAACAACTCTAGTAATTTTTCAACGTAAAAAAGCTCTGCCCCAATCACATAAAATGACGTGTAGGGTTGAGAATATGAATTCAAATATAATACTTCCTTCATTCAAAAATATAAAATATTTTTAATTAAATTTTATTTTTTAATAAAATAATTACATACTTTTCAACTAACTTTATTTTTTTATATTTATCCTTATTAAATACTCTACAATAAATATAAAATCATTCATCTATAGGGGTACTTAAAAAAAATAATGATTACATCTTAAAAGATTAAAAATATTTTACATTTTTAAACATTCAACAACTTAAAAAATGCCTTACATTTTTAATGAAATGAGTAAAAAGTTATAATAAATTCTAGATTGATATTTTTTTATAGTCAAGGAGTATATTTGCTGAACAGAAGAAATTATTCTCTTTGTGATATTGAAGTTAAATGGTAAGTCTTTTTCAGCTAAGTCGATACATATTTCTTTCATTAAAAAATATAAGACATTTTTAATAGAATCTTACCCCCCAATAAAGTAATTATTACTTTTTAACTAACTCTATTTTTCATATTTATTCATATTAAACACCATATAATAATATAAAGTTATTATCAATACATGCACTTTTAAAAAAAATAATGATTATATCTTGAAAGATTAAAAATATTTCATATTTTTTAACATCTAACTTTCAAAAAATATTTTATATTTTTGAATGGCCTATTAAGACTTGGTTTAGATTTAAGGAAAAGTGATGATAATTTTTTAAAAAAAATATTAAATTTTTATCATTTTTAAGAGTTTTTCTTTTTGTTTTCTTTTATCTTTATTTTTTTATTCATTCAAACTAGTGGCGGAGCTACTCATTGGTGAGGGTGGGCAAATGCACCCCTCACTTTGAAAAAAAAAAAATTACAAGTTGTGTGAGTAAGTTTTGCAATTTTACACCCTTTGAACTAAATAAAAAAATATTTGGTCTTTAAAATTTATTAGATATGTAATTTTTTAATGATAAACAAAAGATATGAAAAATATATCTTACATAAAAGATCATATTAACCTATTTAATATATTTTTTAAAAAAAACAATAATGATTAATCTACTTATATTTTACAATTTTATTCATAATGTAATCATATTATTTTTTAAAAAATTATTAATTTTTAAATTAAATTATTGCACCTACTAAATTTAGTCTGCTACTAATTCAAACGAAGGGTAAATGATGAGAATCCTATCATGCCAACTTTAATTGTTATATTGATGATATTAATTATCAATATTATTTTTTTATATGACCATATGAGTGGGTAAGGTTGGAGCATCACCAAACCTAATTAAAATAGTTCTCAGATAATTTTTTTTACGTTCACATGAACTTAAACTTGAGCCTTCATGGATTCCACTAATATAAACACCAACGTCTTCAGCAAAAAAAAAAAAAAAACGACAACAATATTATATTATTATTGTTAGCATGTTATGACGATAGTTGTGGTTGTGGAGGCGCCCCTTAAAGCATGAAGAATATGAGGAAATGACTAGCAAGTCGGCAGAAGATGGCTCCACCTTATCACAAAACTAACGCCTTTCCACGTCGGTCATGAAAGAGATCGGCCGCCGAGAAACGAACCTACGCCCTGCGAAAATCATTGTTTTTATTTATTTATTTAATTATTTTCCTCTGTTTCATTAAAATAAGAACGTGACCGAATAATAAAGACAACACTGCCACGTGGGATGACCCACAATCCGCAAGCATTAGCTATAAACCGCGGTGGTGGGGACTGTGTGTTCGCTGTATGGGGGGATATGCGGATGTCGATGAATCTCAGCTTCTTTTGTAAAACACTATTCCCCCATTTAAAAATAATATAAAATATTTTTTAAAAAAGTTAAATATTAAAAATATAAAATATTTTTAATTTTTTAAAATATAATTATTATTTTTTTAAATATTTTTATTGATAATGACTTTATATTTATTATAAGTTATTTTATATGGATAAATATAAAAATATAGAATTAGTTTACAAGTAAGTAACTACTTTATTGAGTGTTAAGATTCGATTAAAAATGTCTTACATTTTTTAACAGAGGAGTATATTACATAAATTAAAAAAATTAATTAATTATGTTGATTATATTTGAAAATAAAAACTGATTAAAACAACTTTCATCAATTGTGTTAATTAAATTTCATTAATTATTTTTTAAGATTGTGAATGATGAAATTATGAGGAGTAATTTATAAAATTTGTAATAGATATTTATTAAAAATGCAATTTTTTTATATAAAAATAAGTTAAAAGTAATAGTTTCTCTCATAAATAAAAACAAAGAAAGTATTATTTTATTTTATTTAAGTTAAAATATATTTTAAATATTTTTACCTTTATAAAAATTTTTATTTCAATCCTTTAATTTTATAAAATATTTTTTAATCCTTTAACCATAACACCATTAGTTTTATCCCAAAAAATTTATATTAAAGTATTAAACTTTAAGATATTAACAAAATATTTTTAAATGTTGATATATTAATCTTAATTTTTCTAAAAAAATAATGATTAGTATAAAAAATAGTCATTTAAAATTAAATGTGTTAGAATTAGAGAATTAAAAAATACTTTTTAAAATTAAAGAATTAAATTAAAATTTTATATAAAGTTAAAGGATTAAAAATATACTTTAATATTTTATTTATGTTTTAATTTAATTTCTGTCATAAATTTTATTTGTGATAAATAAATAAAATAAAATAAGTAATTCCCTTTATTTGTTTATTTTCAAGACACAACAAACAATCGTTTGGCCAACTCTTTGGGCTAGAAATAATTAATCGAGTTTATCTAAATTAATGGTTGGACAAGTCATATTGAG